TAGAAGGTAATATAAAGTTAAAACAGTAGAAAACTTAAAAAAAATGAAATAAATTAATCTTCTCTCTGCAAAGTAAGAGCATTATGTGCTAGTATGCATTGCATAGTAGCAGATTATGAAAGACTTACCTGAAAATGAAGCCCTCCAGCAGAGCTCTGTCATTGTTCCCTGGGGCTTCCATCTTCACCCGGTCTTCAATCTGGGTTCGCGGGCAAAGGCCGTTAGACTGGCTGGATGGATGACGTCACTCCTGTGGGAGTCTTAGCAGCGACTTGGCTCTCTCAATTGATGGCATCCCCAGCGCTGCTAACGTAAATATCTCCTAAACGGAGCACATTTAGGACATATTTACTGTACCTACAGGTGAGCTTTATTATAGCCTTACCTGTAGGTATAAATAAAAAAAAAGGACCACTTTAGCAGTCTTGTTGAGATAAATATAAAGTAATAGTAGGCCCAAAATCCCTTATATTCCTCTTCTTCTTCTTCAAAAGAGATCACGCCACCAAATGCTAACTGTAGATCTCTGATAAAGAGCAGGATCAGAGTTAAAGAGTAGGTAAGCTCTAACCATGAACGTCTCTAATGTGGTCCTTTTTGGTCTGTTAATTATACCATTGAAAGTCTGTTGTTACATATGCTAGGAAAGCACAAACCTGTCGATTTTGCCAGAAACCTTGTCAGCAAATTACTTCCTATGTTGTCTGCCTCTGCTGCATTTTTAGTAGTCAAAAACCTTAGAGGACTACAGAACCCCCACCATCTATGTTTTGGAGCAGAGAATAGTGATATGCTTCAGAAGTCCTGTCCTGTTTTTTTTTTGTGGTTAACATTACTAAATATCTTGAAAAGAAATGGGATAAAAAACTGGATGAATATTCTTTGAATCTGAAGCAACTTTTTCTTGATCAGTACCACTGGAGAACAGACAGCAAGGTTTTTTAGAGAGAGAAAAAAAGGTAAAATTGTCCCTTTTTGAGATCTTGGAAGAATTTAGACAACTGCTAGAATGAACCGACAGACATATAACTGAGAAGGAAAATAAGATCATTGCGAAAAAGAGAAGTAAATTTAGAAGAGACATTAGAGATTATAGACTAGGTATTCAATGTAAATTAAAGGATTAGGAGGAATATAATGAACCAGAGGAAGTAAGGAGAGCAAATTATTTAGAGGAGGATAAGAGTACTAAAGAAATGGGACAGAGGAATGGTAAGGCAAGAAGAAAATCCAGGAGAGGGTCATGGAAGAATTTATGGTAATAACAGAGAGAATACTAGGAACTGGTCCTTACTAGAGTATAGGGAGGATGAGTACCCACATAGTAACCAATGGGACTATTCTTTAGAGTAGAGCAGGTGCCATGAGAATCCACCATGGAGGAAAAACCACAGATACCAGTGGAAAAGGTAAAGGTAAAACACATGAAAACCAGAAAGATAAAAAAATCAAGTGTGAACGGGGAACCAGGGCCAGTAAAAAGGTTAATAACTGATTGAAGCATGTGAAAAGTGGTTAAAATCTTAAAGATAGTGAAACTATCCCAAGGAATGTATATAATTTAAGTAAAGTAATAGTCACAATTATGTCATCACACTATTTATGAGGACATCATCACACATAGGCTATTCTTGTTCTTGGATAGAAGAGAAAACTGAAGGCCTTCAAACGTTCTACAATATACTGTACTAAGAACTCTAAATCTGAACCATGTGGTTTAAACTTGGGTCCTGTGGAGCCTTCAAACCTAAGTGTGGTTGCATCAAATGCAAAGCCCCTGTTTCTACTAATAGCAAAGACTGTTATTGTGCATTACTATATGTGCATTACTATAATACTGTGGTATTGGAATATTGCAACTCACGCTTATCCAACGATATAAAATATATCAAATACAAATGAATAAAAGAGATCTCAATTGTTTAAGTCTGAACTGTCTCTCTAGCATTCAGCTCCAGGCTCACGTTTGCACCTCCTCCAACCCTCTTCCAGCTTTGCTCTGCTCCAGGGTCACCTCTGTTCCCCTTCTTATAGCATTGCACTCTGTTCCAAGCTCATATCTGCACCCCCTGCACTCTTCTTCCAGCTTTCTACTCTGCCCCAGGCTCATCTCTGCACGCAATGAGGAAAGAACAAAGAGAGGGCGCCCAGGCCTAGTGCATTACCATAAAAAATGTTTAATAAGAAATAAAATAGGTGTTGTACTCACAAACGAGAATAAAGTCAAGGCACATCATGAAAGAACAGCTGGGTCAACACCGCGCTGAGTAACAGTCCGCAATGGGGAGTGTAGACATCCAACAGGCTGATGCGTTTCGAGGACTTGCCTCTTCCTCATCTCTGCACCCCCTGCATCCCAATATTTCATTCCACTCTGCCCCATCATTTCACTATGCATCAGGTCTACCTATGCACCCCTGTTCATGTGTTAACCACTGCTCCAGGATCACCCCTTTTCCTGTGTTCCAGTGTGTTTCAGGCTATCCACCTGTAGGCAGGTGTAGTCCATACCCCTACTGTTGGTGGCACTACGTTGATGTGACAATACAGAAGGGGAAGGAAGTAATGGGGAACTTAGTTCCTCTATGATTTTCCTGTGGTCACCTGGGAGTAACTATCTGATCGTGACCTCCATGGCCATTTTGGCTGAGGACAGAGCTAATTTAGGCCCCTGACCCACTGATTTGGCATGCATTTTGTGAGTGGCTAGAGAAGGGACAGGTTCCCTGCCAGTTAGGGACAGCACTTAGTGGCAGGGAAAGCCTCTGGAGGAGTAGGGAAAGTGAAGGAACTAGGTCTACCTTCTTTGAGAAGTTCCCCAGTTGGGTTGGACCGGCCAGGCCAGACCTCACTTCCTGTCCTCATTGCAGACACTGTTAGCATCACTTTATACTACAGGAACACTCCTGTGAGTTTTGTAAGTGGTTCTGGACAACTGTGCTCTTCTGCCGGGCCTAGTAGTTTCTTGTCGGAACGTTCACAATAAACAATTAACTGCACTTCACCTTTGTGTTCTCTGCTGCTGTTGCACCACACTGTACCATGTGCATGAACTGTGCCCTTCTTGTGGTGTTCACCTCTTTTTCAGGCTCACATTTGCACCTGTCTTCCAGAGTTCTACTCTGCTCCATGTTTACTTCTAAACCCCCTTCCAGCACTCATCTTTGCTCCAGGTTCATATCTGCACCCCTGTACTCCACTTTCAATGTTCAACCTCTCCTCCAGGCGCACCTCTGCACCCCTTGCACACTGTTTCCACTACCCAGACCCAAATCCCTCTTTCACTATTCAGTTCTCTCCACAAAGGCTTGTTTGAATTTCAGCAGAGAGTTTGACTGCCAGGGAAGAATTGCAGGCAGAAAACCAAAACAATAATTACTACTGCTGCTCCTAGCAAATGCTCACTAGCCTGTTATTGGTCTTATAATTTGTCTATTTTATGTAATTAGGTCTAGACAAAAAATAACCTTCTGTAATGCCATGAAAATGTTTTTTCTGTTCTGCCCTGTGTGAGCTAGAAGTATGCATACCATTTGTGCAAGTTCACCAGCTGCACATGGGCTTTTGTGAGAGTTGGTGGTCCATTTGTACTAAATGTGGGCCAGGCAGATGCAGGGATCTGAGCTGTGATCATTATCTGGCCCGAGTTGCATATTAGACCATGAAAACATTCACGTACCAAAAAGGCTAACCCCCCGCCTATATTTGTCTATTTATCTGTCTATACAGAATGAATCAATGGGGTTGACTTACAAAAACTAGATAGTGCAAAATCTGGTGCAGCTCTACATTGTAGCCAATCAGCTTCTAACTTCAGCTTGTGCCCAATTAAGTGTTGACAATAAAACCTTGAAGCTGATTGGTTTCTATGCAGATTTGCACCATATTTTGCACTCTACAGTTTTAGTAAATCAACCCTAATATCTGCAATTCGGCAGTAGTTGAATCAGGGCCTAAAAATTGTTCTTGAGCTAAAGCCCATTGCTGAGTATGTTCACCACTGAGATGTTCTGTGAATTATCATGAGGCAATAAAGGGATGGGTACAAGTTATTCATGTCTAATCACTTCAGCATATTATGTTATTTTGGTTTTTTTTTTACTATTACAAAATGATCCCAACTATAATTTTTTATCACTGATCATCAAGTATTTTGAGTTCCAAAATGAATTCATTGACAAATACTGTAATTGATCATAAAACTATGAAGGCTTATTTATTTGTGCTAGTAAAAATATCAAACACAAATAATTGAAGGCATCAAAAGAACAAACTGACATTATGAGTACTTATTTGAGACCTTGGAAAAGCATCAAGCAGCCAATTTTGAGGTACTCATTGTTCTGCCTTCAAGTTGAAAGCTGTAGGACTTTGTACTAACAAGAAAAGCAACCTTTACACCAACTTGTAATAATCACTTAACTTAATAGTAGGATTTCCAGTGAAAACAGTGTTCCCTTTCAGTGTCAGAATGACTAAGAAATAGGCTTACACTTCAAATCCTCTGTTGTTCCGCTCTAATGAAGACAATTTTAAGGCTGTAGAGTATTTGCATAGTAGTTCACATAGTTCAGTTTAATGGAATGAAAAACAAATGTAAAAAAAAAAGTAATAAAATCAGAATTCTGAAATACCATAAAAATTAAGTTATGTAAACATGAACAGTTTAAATTAAGTTATGTAAACATGAACAGTTTTATTTATCACCATCATAAAAAATGGTAATAAACAGTGAAAGAAAATGATGATGGTTTTACTGCAGTTTTTAATCCTCCAATGCTTGGTCTATAAGGTGCAACGTTAGTATTGCCTAATGTACAAGTACATTTTAGGTGAACTTGTACTTGTGTTACTAAACCCACAACAGTAAAATCAGTCTGTATATGCAGTAAAGCATGCTTGTTATACTCACTGTGGAACCTAAGGAGTTAATCCTCTGCATTATGTACAAATGTTGTTTGATCTCGACTTCTCTGATCTTCCCCTTCTTCCAGTGCCCCCCTCTTATCTCCTGATAAGACACATCGTGTGGAGTCACTCTGCACATGCTCAGTTTAGTTTGTATTGCTAGAGAGGTTTTTATTTTCTTGGGAGAGTGCATGTGATCAGCACAGGGCCAATCAGCACTGTCCAGACATAAGTCATGGGTACTGCATCCTCCCAGAGCAGAAATAAAACTCTTACAAGCTTTAAGGAGTGCTCTACTGGACACTGATAGAGGTCACAAGACTGCTTTAACTGCTGATGAGAAAAGGTATTTAGCGGTTTATAGTTACTAAAATAATTGTATTTCCATGTTGTGTGTACTGTGGGAGACCAGATATAGTGAATGCAGGGTCCTGAGTTTAGTAACACTTTAACTTAAAGTATATCTTTAGGAAAAAGAACAGACCCTTTGTAAAATTTTTATTGCTGTCTCTGTCCCCATTGGGGAGATTCACTCTTCTATTTGTAGTGGTGACTATTATCACCAAAAGCAATAGTGGTGGAATTACCAAACGTTTAGTGTTGCCCCCCGAACAGTCTTTCCAGCAAAAAAAAGGTAATTCTCTTCATTATATCCTCTAAAAGACACAAAAGAGATCCATTATTTTACATGTATTACTTTTTCACCAGTTCTGTCTACAGTTGCAAGAAAAGTATGTGACCCCCTTGGGATTACGTGGAGTTTTGCATGAATTGGGCATAAAATGTGCTCTGAACGTCATCTAAGTCACAACAATAGAAGAACACAGTCTGCTAAACATAATACTACACAAACATTAGATGTTGCCATGGTTTAATTGCACATAACATGTAAACATTCACTGTGCAGGGAGGAAAAAGTATGTGAATCTTTGGCCTTAATAACTGGTTGACCCTCCTTTGACAGCAATAACCTCAACCAAACGTTTCCTGTAGTTACAGATCAGACCTGCACAATGATCTGGAGTAATTTTGGACCACTCCTCTTCACAAAACTGTTTCAGTGTAGCAATATTCTTGGGATGTCTGGTGTGAATCGCTCTCTTAAGGTCATGCCACAGCATTTCAATCGGGTTGAGGTCAGGACTCTGACTGGGCCACTCCAGAAGGCGTATTCTGTGCTGTTGCAGCCATTGTTTTGTTGAATTACTTGTATGCTTTGGGTCATTGTCCTGTTGCATCACCCATCCTCTGCGGAGCTTCAGTTGGCAGACAGATGGTCGTACGTTTTCCTGCAAAATGTCTTGATAAACTCTGGAATTAATTTTCCCATCAATGACAACAATCCGTCCAGGCCCTGAGGCAGCAAAGCAGCCCCAAACCATGATGCTCCCTCCGCCATGTTTTACAGTGGGGATGAGTTTTGATGTTGGTGTGCTGTGCCTTTTTTTCTCCACACATAGTGTTGTGTGTTCTTCCCAAACAACTCAATCTTGGTTTCATCTGTCCACAGTATATTTTGCCAGTAGTGCTGTGGAACATCCAGGTGCTCTTTTGCAAACTTCAAACATGCTGCAATATTCTTTTTGGACAGCAATGGCTTCCTCCGTGGTGTCCTCCCATGTACTCCATTCTTGTTTAATGTTTTCCTTATTGTAGATGTGTCAACAAAAATGTTAGCATGTGCCAGAGATTTCTGTAGGTCTTTAGCTGACACTCTGGGATTCTTCTTTACCTCATGCAGCATTCTGTGCTGTGCTCTTGCAGTCATTTTTACAGGACGACCACACCTAAGGAGAGTAGCAACAGTGCTAAACTTTCTCCATTTGTAGACAGTCTGTCTTACCGTGGACACATGAACATCAAGGCTTTTGGAGATACTTTTGTAACCCTTTCCAGCTTCATGCAAGTCAACTATTCTTGATCGTAGGTCTTCTGAGAGCTCTTTTCTGCCAGGCATGGTTCACATCAGACAGTGCTTCTTGAAACCAGTAAACCCAAAACAGGTGTGTGTTTTTTAAGGGCAGGACGGCTGTCAGCAACACATCCAATATCATCACACTGACTGGAGTCAAGGTGGCTCACTCCTGGCTCCAATTAGCTCTGGGAGAAATTATTAAGCTAGGGCCTCACATACTTTTTCCTCTCTGCACTGTGAATGTTTACATGTTATGTGCAATTAAACCATGGCAACATCTAATGTTTGTGTAGTATTATGTTCAGCAGACTGTGTTCTTCTATTGTTGTGACTTAGATGACGTTCAGAGCACATTTTACGCCCAATTCATGCAAAACTCCACGTAATCCCAAGGGGTTCACATACTTTTTCTTGCAACTGTATGTTTCATTTTCTATATCTCTTTCATGATTTCACAGTGCACTGCATTGCAAAATAATGCACGTGGTTGCAAGGTGGTTGCAGTGTGACCCTAGTCATGATGAACTTTATGGGGGGTACAATTTTCGATGGGCCCATGGTATGTGTACAACCCTGTCTGGCTGCATTTGCAGCTTTAGACTCAGTTCACACTACTGTGACTTGATTCCAATGTGACTTTCAGTCCGATCATGTAGTGTGACCTTGATGCAACTTTAGATTTGGCTAGTATTTACTATGGAGCCAAATCGCACCAAAATTGAAGAGTTGCATTGATGTGAATGGGCACCATTGAAAAATAATGTGATTGCCTTTGTCATGCGACTCTACGTGGCTCAAGTCACATTCGAATTCGCACCAGTGTGAACCAGCACTAAGAGGGGCAGTACTAAAAAAAAAGGCTTAGCCTATTTTAAACACCACCCTCCTTCCCAACCGCAAGTGTATACAAGTCCTGAAAAGAGATATTCTAGATTCTAGAATACATAATAAAATACAGAAACCAGGAGTAAAAAAGTGTAAAGGGACCTTTCAGACTCTATGCACTGGGATGTGCTAGGTACCATTCGCTAAGACAACACCACCACAATGGTTCATGCTGAAAAAATGTAGGACATGCACTACCTTTTTCAGTGCAGTATTGCGATATAAATATTACTTTGTGATATTTCAATAAAGTTGGTGTTGTTCATGTATTTTGTACAACTACTTCATGTTTAAAGTATATCTAAAGGCAAAACTTTGTTTTTAGTTTTGGATAGAGTAAATAGGGTTTAGAACACCTTGCAGTTTGTATTTCTGTCTGTGCCATTAGGGAGATTCACCCTCTATATTTGTCCTGTTTATCATTATCACTGAAAGTGAAAGTAAAATAAAATCCCAAATGTTGGCTTGTCCCCAGAAAAGCAATAGAGCGGAAATCTTACAATTGTGATCTGGGGGGCCCAAAGGAATTCCCCTAATTTGCATAGATTTCCTCTCACTTCCTGTTTGGCTATGGGACAGGAAGTGAAGGGAAATCTTCACAATGGGGTGCAGATGGCGAAACAAATCTGACCTTTATAACCTTTTGCTCTCTCCAAAATGATTTAAAAGGTTTTGCCTACAGTGTTTCCCAACCTTCTTTCAGTCAAGGCAAATGTAAAAATTATGGACAATCTTGAGGCTCCCCATTCTAAAGTTTTAAAAACCAAACTAATAGTTTTATATAACACAGCAGTATACACACATGTAGGACACCCAGCATTAGAGGTGATTTATTTTTCCAAAGCAAAAACACCTTTGCACACTGGTACTGACTAGTATTCCAATGTTTCTCTTCTCCTTCAGTTTCTCTCCCTTACTCAGCTGATGTGACCCCAGTGCAGACAGAGCGGGGCAGGGAGGGGAAAACTAGGATGCTGTGCAGGCGCAAGTGTCCTTCTTATCAACTGATAACACCAGTGGTTGTTAAGATGTCGGTGGCTGGAATGCTATAATAATAATTCACAATAATAATTCACAATAATAACCTGTGATTTTGTGTAACTAAAAGGCACCCTAGTTGAAAAAGGCTGGCCTATAGTACAACTTTAACCCTTTGACTCTGAGCACATGCAAATATGCGGCCTCTCAGCATCTGGGCCTTGTCACTGCGTGGCCACATATTTGCATGCAATTAGAAAATACATATGTGCTGAAAGCGCACGCCCTGCGCACTCCCTGCACATATGTCCGTGACTCACAGAAAGATCCCAATCTCCCCTTTCGAACGGGACCTTTTCTGATCATGTGACTGCCGTGGTGGCGAATCACAGCGGTCACATGAACCTAAAACCCTGCCCGCCTCCCGGCTTCTGAAACTCTTAAAGGGCCATGGAGACGCCGGCGCTAAGAGGTTAAGTATGTAGTAGAGATATATTCATCAACCAGTAGATGGCAGTGTTTATAAGTTTGTAGCTGCATTTATGATAAACTCTGTGTCTTTTCTCTAATAAAGTTCCTGTTTCCTGTTAGCAGAAAAGCAGCAGATAATACCATGTTGAATGTGCACTGTCTGTTGTATACGGCTATAGACATAATCTCTAACAGCTTGAGAAAAAGTAAACAGTGCAATGCATTGTTTAGGACACAGTAGCTCTGCTCCTTTCACTCCAGTGGCCTTGGTATAATGCGGTCTTTGATGTGAACCGGCCCTACAATATGGATGATTTTCAAAACAAGGCTATATAGTGCGAATGATCATGCAAGCAAATACAAAAAAGAGCCAAGTATTGTGGAGCTGTTTACTCCGTTTTTTACAAATAATGAGGAATTAGAAGAGGGTTAAAAACAGAAGAAAGTAAAAGAGATCACATGTGCACATTACCTTATGAATAAATAGTATGGTTGAAAACCAAAGTGCCTTAAAGTTGTAAGAACAGCTACAGTGTACCTAAATGGACTCACAAAACACCAGGCATGTACTTAGTACTTGTTGCATGACAGAGACTGATAGGGTAGGATGTTACCAGGCTTGGGTAGGATGTTACCAGACTTCATCCCAGAACTAGAGGCTGGTATAACAGGGCAGGTGGCAGCAAAAACGTTCGTCTGACAAACATCAGTAAAATTCAACAGTGATGAACCAAACAATGGGAAATTTTTGTAATGAGCCTACACACTCATTCTGCACCCCCAATCACTTTACAGTCTTGTGGCCTCAAGCAAACTCTTCAGCATTCATAGTTTGCATCAGCAATTAAATTTAGTTGTAATTCTACCAGGAAGAAGCAGGGGAGTTCCCCTCCCGAGCCAGACATGTTATAACAGTGCCTACAGGGTAGTAGGAGAATCTTTTCTCTGTCTTTCCTAAGAACACCCTGACAGAAGGTTTGCATTGTGGCAATGTTATAGCTTCCCTCATACTAGGGAGTGTGGCCCACCAGAGGTAGCCTACCATGCTTGTTCCTTGCCTATGCCTGGCCTACCTTCAGGGGACCCCAAATGCATCATTATATTCACCGTGTGAATGGTGCTTATCTTCTAAGACACCACATACTGACCTTTTTCTTCCAAATGATGAACTCCTTTTTCAGT